CGCCTGAATAATTTAGAAGTTAACTGGTGGATGATGACTAGCAGTGGAGTCCATGATGCGCATTTCGTCCTATTCGGGACTCGTCTCCTGGATATACCTGTACTCCTCAGTGAGTGATGATGTTCCGCCTGAATGCTTACAATGCAATCAGAAGTAAAAATCAAGCGTAAATAATAACAAATGCATTGCTGACAACGAAATATTCAATGCCTAATTAACTGATGACGAAACCGGTTACTCAATGTTCTGTTTTCATCATCAAATATTGGCAACCTGTTTGACACCTGGGCTACCTTTCCGTACATCTACATATTTGCATCTAATACATCATGTTTTCATTTTTAATTTTAACAAAATATGATCACAAATCGTATCAAATACAGTAATGAATTCATTAAATGTTTTAAACCATATGACTTTCATGCATCTAATAAAACTAAGAGAAAACATCATGGTGGTTGGCAACGTTCTCTCAAACGGACACCTTCATATCGCAAAACTATTCCTGTTATTGTCAGTTCAAACTGCCGTTCACTTCCCAACAAAATTATGCATCTCCAGTCTCTCTTATCATCTGATACTTATCACAATACGGCGATAGTCGCATTACAAGAAACATGGCTCCATGATCTTTATGATGACAACCTGGTTTCTCTAAATGGTTTTACATTGTTCAGACAAAATCGACTATGCTCTAGAAAGAAAAGAGGTGAAGGTGTTGCAACTTTCATTCATTCTCAGTGGTCAACTTCAAATAGTGTATGTTTTTATTTCTCTAGTGACTATATTGACTGTATAACAGTCAAATGTCGTCCGAAACACTTATCCAAGTTTAAATACGTCTTCATCTCAAACATTTATGTTACTCCTGGCTGTTCCGCCTCGGATCTATCTGATTTTGCCGATGAATTCACAGCATTCGCTGTTACACATCTTGAAAACTCTTTATCAGTTGTCACAGGAAATTTCAACACCTGCGATTGTTCTTTTCTTGAATCATTAGGTCATGTCAATATTGTCAAATTTACAACTCGACTTGATAAAACACTGGATCCAGTATTTACGAATGATGCGGAAATATATGAAGCACGCAGACGTGCTCCTATAATGAACTCTGATCATTGTATTATTCGGATATTACCCAAGATATATAGCAGATATCACTCTAGTATCCTCCCAAATCTCTCCAGGAAAACACAACAAAGATGTTACTCACAAGAAAATGTGCTGAAACTAAGACGTATGCTAAATGATACAAACTGATAACTTTTCACTGAACACACGCTGGATGATACTATTTCCAATCTGACTGACTCTCTTAAATTCTGCCTTGATGTATGCTGTCCAAAACAGATACTTTTCAAAAGAATGGACCGTTTCTCTTCCCCTCATCTCAAAAAGCTTCGAAGAGAAAAAGAGAGACTGTACAAGTCTAGGGATAAATCTGGTCATAGGAGTATAGACATCCAAATTAAATCCGAAATCAAGAGGCTAAACAATATTTATAATCAAAGAATTTTGTCATGTAAAACTCCAGGGAACATGTGGAAGCTTTTCAGAGAAATTACAGGTTGTGGTAAGCATAGTACTTGTGCCCCCTCTATTGATGTAAATACTCTTAATAGATCTGTTATCCGCCCTCCTAATGTACCTTTTAGCTTCAATGGAACAAATAAAATGACCAGTGACTTTCATAGTTTTAAAACTTCTGATGTTCTTAAATGTTTAAAATCCCTTAAACCTTCCCGAAGTCTAGGCCCTGATGGTATACCTGCCATTGTCCTAAGGAAATGTGCTGATATTTTAAGTAACCCACTTACAAACATTTTCAACACTTCTTTTTCTAATAATGTTGTACCTTCTCTGTGGAAAGATATTAAAATCATCCCTGCAACCACGTCAGGTTCTGGTTATAATGTTAAGTTTGGACCTATGGCTATTACCTCTGCTTTCTTGAAACTAATGGAGAAATTATTGTTACTAAAACTTGTTCCCTCCCTAAGTTTCTCAAACGATCCAAAGCAGTTTGCTTACAAACAGGGTAGAAGTACTTTAGACGCAGCTGCTGTGTTTCATCACAACATTGTATCCTCCTTAGACAAAGGGGCCAAGTATGTCCGTTGTACGTTCCTTGATTATACATCTGCTTTCGACTCTGTACCTGGAGGCCTATTGTTAAACAAGCTTAGCTTTACACAAACTGAGTCTTGGGCCATCAACTGGCTACACTCTTACTTCTCTAATAGGATGCAGTACACGGTATATAATGGTTATCTTCCTCTCCTTTGCTTACTGAAGCTGGAGTTCCTCAGGGTGCTGTTCTCTCTCCGTTTCTCTTTTCCTTCTTCTCACATGATTTACCTCTTTCAGACGAAATCAACTTCGTCAAATATGCAGATGACCTGACTGTTTCGCTTCCCGTTAAGTCTCAGTCAGACTGTTTCAAATTAAATAGCTTCCTGTCGGACATCAGTCAGTGGTCTAAACTAAATGGTCTCATGCTGAATCCCTCGAAATGCCAGACTATTGACTTCTCCCTTAGGCATAAACGAGATCTGCAAACACTAGTAAGTACTCATGAAGCCTGTTGCCTTGAGGGGACTAAAATTGAAGCTAAGTCTAATGCAAAATACTTCGGTCTAATTCTATCTTCCGACCTTACTTGGACATCTCATATCCTAACTATTTCTAAGAAAGTGTTCTGTCTAATCTACTACATTAAGAAACTAAGACAGTCTGGAATCACCCAACCTCTACTTTCACAATTTGTCAACTCTTGTATCTTACCTATTCTACTTTACTGCTCCCAGTTCGTCTTTCCAGGCCTACTGAAAAAGGACTATACCATCCTGAGAAGGATGCTGAAGGTAGTTAGTAGGACTAGTGGTGTAAAAGTCAGTCAGCTCGTCACTACATTAGTTGATAGGCATCTGAATACATGCGACAAATGGTCTCAAACCATACTCTCCGACCCCAACACCCCCTCTATTCCCAACTCTCGCCTTGTATCTCATCAAGTAGAACCAGAAATCAGTATAAAATAATCTATGCTCGTACAACCAAGTACAGGAACTCAACGATACCATAATTTGCCTGTGTTCTAAGTGACAGAGACAATGTTAAGCGCGAAACCTATGACTTGCTCTGTTGTTAATAACATAATTTTAGGCTCTTTTATTTCTCTCTTATTTTGTATTCTATAGTGAACTCCTTCTTAAACATACTTAACTACCTAAATTGTCAACATTGGCTTACTTTTTTGTACTTTTCTGTATTCCTTCTTTTGTGTATCTACTGGTTCCGACTATATTAGCACTATGAGTATTACAAAATTGTCCTTTCATTAACCATCAAGTAATTATTAGTTTTTGTGGTTGTTTATTTTATTCTTTTTCGGCATTATTAACTGACAATCATTGGTTGTGAACGCCATTACCACCATCTCAAAATTTTGTATTATGCAGAATTACTGCATTAGACTTGACAATACAAAACAAAACAACAACTCTAAAATGTTATTTTATGATGGTTTAGTGTTGTTTCAACCAAATTAACTGATCTTCTTGGCCATAAACATCCTTAAATATCATTTCATAATTTCTTGTATGACTATAGCTTTACTGTCAACATGCATAATCATATCATGGCTTCCATTACCCAATACTGAGATATTATTTTATGCTGTTTATTTTCCTTTCTACTTCTTGGTATTTTTTCGCATTTTTATAATTATTTTTGTGTTTTTTGTGTTGTTTATTGCTGTTGTTGTCTTTATATTTTTTTTGAAATACTCCTTTTAAATGTTTGATAAAATTAGATGCAAATATTGTAGATATGTGCTGAAAATTCCACACTGTAGCACTACTACTGTTTCTGGAATAAAGCAAATTATTATTATTTCAGAGAATAGGTGTATGATATTTTTAATAAAGTGAGGGACATTCGATTTCATATATTGGTTTAGTTAGATAAGCCAACGTGGTGTGTGGTAATCATGTGATTTCAAGCAAAGTTTCATATCATTTTCAGGCTAGAGAGAATCATTTGTTTGTATATTTGAACACCAAATTATGTGTGAAGGGCTATGCATTATTTGCCTTCCTGTTTGTAATGTGATCAACTGTATTTGTTTACCTGATTGATGAGCAGAGTTCATTCACGCTTATCTTCTTCTTGAAAAAACAAGATTATCTTTTTTGCACTCCGTTTTGCTCATATTGACTTAGATAAATAAAAAGATAAGAATATATTATAAATACATTGAAATCAACATTCACCTTATAATACCGCGCAGATGAAATCAGGTAAATTTATTATTATTAGGTAAATATTTATAGTTTTCTGTGTTCTTCATGAATTTGAGTTCTCTACCAGATAACCTTGTTCTCTTCATACTTTAGGGTTAACTTGTTTCTTTTTTCCACTCGGCAATTAACACCCATTTGTATCTGAGCGCTTTTACTCAATGACACGACACCTATTTATTCAGAGGAAATATAAATTCCATCGCCTCTCACTGGAAAATATGATCCTATTCTCACGTAGAAATCATATATGTAGTCATAAATTTTATATTCTACGAAACATTTCAGTGACCCGCTTAGTGATGACAATAGTGATGACCAATATATGTACAGCTATTTGGCTAGTATTGAGTTTGTTTGCTAACCGTACTAGAATCGCTGCTCACTCGATGACAGCAGAGCAGGAAGTATTGAATTCGTCTTCATCTAACTAGTGGAGTGCATTTTCAGTTTCTGCTGTACAAATTGCGATTATCAGCCTTAGTTTCACACTCACACACCGAAATATACCGTCATACATATTCCATATAACTGTCATGTTACAATTTATACATTTTCACAGAATTATCAAAGAAGATGGGTGATAAGAAAGCTGCAGTGAATTCCGTTTTAATAAGTCGTGAATTTGAAGTGCTGGACAAATACCAGAAAAGAGTGAGTCTACTATCCAGTGATGAATATAATTACTTATTGTAGGTTTTAGTTTTTCTTGCTGCGATATGCCCTATCACACTAGCCATAACACCTGCTCTGGCGTTCATGTATGTCAACATACATAAATGATTAATTAATTATCTTTCAGACCAAGAGAAAATCGACCAATTCTGATAGCGATTACAATATTATATGTCGTGCTGTATGTTCGTTATACAAATAATGAAATTGAGTTTATTAAATTGCATTAAACATTATATATAAATGTATATTTTTATAAACTGGTCACTTTCAGTTCGACATTTTATATTTTACTATCAAAATGGTCTTCTAATTTTTGTCTCATCTCATATTCATACCTGATATACGGTAGTGACATCATAAGTTGTCTTCCAACATTATACATCAAGAGGAATATTACGTAAGTTTTACAGAAAATATAAGTGAGGTTTGCAGCTGTCCAGTGGATAGGAAACCGCACACATTCATATCAAAAATCAAATTAAAACGAACGAGTTGAACCGTTGTCGGTGTGACTCAGTGCAGTATGCCCTAGCGTTTTGTACAAGTTGTAATGAAGCATTCCGACAAAACATGATGTAAGCTGTGACGTGGACGGTTTCAATCAAGATATCGGCTATCTAAGTGCAAGTGGAGAATCCTCTCCAACCGCCATTATAAAATGAGAGACAATAATGATTTGTCTTCACATTTTAGACGTTTTAGGGTAAGATATGCATATCCGTAGCATACTGACTGATTAAACTTATCAAATTTCTCATACTACACATTTTCGTTAAATGAAACACTGCTGAGAAATGATTCTTTATGCGTACTCCACTTCAAATATCTGATGAAATCAAAGCTACTGTTGAACTGCACTTAACCGAATAGCGTGCTACGCTCTTCTTCAAGATCTAGAACAGAATATTCGCTGGTGACTGCCATCTCATATATATTACTGTGTGTTCATCAGACAACTAATTAAATTGAGTTCAATAAATTTTATTGAATATTATGCTGTGTGTTATGCATTGACCATATTACACTAGGCTACATACATACTTGGTATTTCCTTATTACAGTCATTTTCTAATTTTCGTCTCAACGCATAATCCTGTTTGATTTTTGATAGAAACGTTATAAGTCACTTTCGAGCATCCTACATGAGAGTGGAATATTACTTCAGATTGTTATTGAAGGTAGAATTGACATATACCAGTGTTTTCTCGACACATATCAAAATGTATTCAAAACACACTATCAACTTACCTATTTCACATCCACAGGTTTACTAAAGCCGAGAGTATCATTTCTCACAATAATTCGAATAGCTAGAACTTCCATTTTACGTGTGACTCAGTGCATTATGTTGTAGTGTTTTGTGCAAATGCTGAACATGCAATTTGATAGGATAGAGTGTAGACTGTGATTCGAAACGAAAATTTAAGTCGAGTCAACTACAAGAGTACTTGTGATGTCACACCTATTTTCTTAAATATCAAAAAGTTTCCACATAAATCACCAACTTTCCAGAGGCTGATAAACACAGTGAAAAGAAGAGAATGATTATGTTTAACCTCAGTTATAAAATGAATAGTGATAACGATTCTGTCTTGATTATTTAGGCATTTCAGTGTGGGGTTTATATTTTCGTAATTGTGCATAATTTTTACAATTCACGATATATATATATATATAAATATATTTATTCATACGTTTATTTCCCTTGCATTTTAGGTGGATTGTTGAAGCCGCAGTATCGTATTTCCTATTCGCATCAGACGCAATAAGGAAAAGTTTTCCCGTGAATTTGTTGTTGACGATGTTACATGTAAGAAGCCGATGTCTTTATCATTTCTGAGTATTTTTAAAACAAATTACACGACGAAGTAACACACGATGCTTTTAATTTCCCGGTCGTAACGTAGTTTCTTCATACATTCAAGATGAAACAGGTTGTAGGAATGCATGTTGAGTAAATAGGTTTAGTTCAGAAGTACTGTAGAACATTTCATCAGGTACGAATGAAGTCCCTATTGCTAATGAAATATTCAATGTTTATGGGACATATAGAAGAAGCAGATACTTGATATAGTGGTTCCTATGCCTTATCAGTAATATTTGATTTGTAATGCAGGGATAACATATTTCATATTTCCTGGTTAGATATACATACCTTTATAATGTATTCAAATCACTTGGATTGGACACTAGTAACTAGTGTAGCGTGTCTAGTATTCTTTGGTGGCCGAATAGCTCAGTGGTAACGTCCATTCGAATCTGAGAAAGGAAATGAGTCCCTTCAAGGTTGCAGATACGCCGTGCTGATGAGTGCCAACTAGCACGAAACCTAGGTCAAGCAAGGCTTCCTGCCGATTGCCTCCAGCTATCTAGTATACAAATCATGTTATATTAGGTAATATTCATACTAGCAATGACTTCGAACAGTGAACTGCGTCTACGGAAACATTCAGTTTGATAAAATATTACAAACTATCACTTCACTGGGGTGATGATCTTTCTGAATACTACTGACTACCTATTACTGCTGCCTATGCATTTGTGTAGAATCACCCTCTAGCCTATTCACCTACACTGTGAAATTGTGTTCATGAGACTATTGTAACATTTGTTTATTAAAACACAATTTTTGTATTCGGTTCACTCCTTTTTTGTAGTCCGCTTGCATCACCGTAATAGCAGAACCCTCATACTTTGCGAAAGACTATAGATGGGTATTGGGTGCGATGGCGATAGCTGTGGTGCTCTTCATCATATGCATATCGATAGGTGCAGCGTCGAAAAGTAAACTTAATGTGGACAACCCAGCAATGGTGATAGGCTACATTGTCTTCTCAGTCATAATCGGCATTGTTACACTTGCGGTTTACTTTACGACCAAAAACGTAAGTGGAAACAATTATTTTTATCTTTACAAGAAATAGACTATGTGATTAAACTATTTATGATTCAAGCATCGAAATATACCATTACTTTGTCAATTGAGTGACTAGTGTGACTGAGTCACTAATGTGAATTAAACAGGTGTAAAGCGGTATTTTGAACAATTATTCAGTGTCGCATGTATCTTATTTTACAAAGAAATGTTTTTATGTAATATCCTGACTGAATATACGTTTTCTGTTAACTAACTGCATCTATCATTAATTTTTTCTGCGTTATAGTCCACTTGGACTAGGATGATTCTGGCAGGAGGTATGACCATTGTAATAATCCCTGTAAGTTTTCATTTTCGATGTTCATTTCTGTTAATTAAAGCTGCTTTATCAAAGCTGAGGATCACATAACCACTCTGTGTCTTATTCAGACTTCCCTTACGATTGACAGTAAGCAACTTCTAGTGCAAAACACGAAACTGATTTTGCCAAATTTCACACTACAATCATTAGTATTATTATCCCCTCAGGTTACAAATGGAACTTAGGATTTCCGCACATACCACTGTTTCAATCTGTTTTCTGAAGTTATTTGTGGTTGGCTCCACGACTCTCCAGAAGCTTTCATCATCTCCTTACATGATCTCACCCGTGTCACTTTTCGAGGCACACCCAACACGTTGATTTATATCCGGGCTTCACTGAGCAGTCTCATCATCATATGACAAATCCAATTCATCTCCTTTTCCTTCTGCATATTTGCCATGAAGTAGTCTAACAGCTGGTTCTCCACTTACCGTTAAATCTGCAGTATGCAGTTAGAGGCGATAGCTGTTGGTAAGTCTGTAGCTTCTTGGAAATCCTATTCAGGATAGCATAACAATCTGAAACATATAGAATCACTGATTTTCCATTACTGTTGAAGATCCGGATCTTCGTAATTATGTTCAGCACATATGTGACAACGTCCAGTCACTTGTGTGAGTGAAATTATCGAAAAGGATATTCACTGGTCAATTATTTTGTGTTTTATAGATGTCCGAATGAATGTTTCTGCTATATTCATTGTATGTGTCAAATTTTATCAATACACTGAAATTCTTCAAAATATTACCACTCATATTTTCCCTTATCTACCATGGTTATCAGGTCGCCTTATATGTCGGTCAGTCAACACTTGGCCCACCTGAATTCAGAGAGTATGATACAGATTACTGTTCAGCTGCAGTGGTTATACATGCCACTCTTGTCATCTTTCTGGTTATGCTCAGCCTTGGAGTGATACAAATACCGAAGGAAAGAGAAATTATGTTAGCAGGACTGACTGAACCAATTTCGTGGTTTTCAGTATAAAAGCATTACAGTACGAAAGTGTGCATTTTATGGTCAACTGTCTACAACCACAGTTCATACTGTTGTGTTCATGATTTGTAATCCGATTAAATAAATAAATTCACTTTTTACACAGAAGGTGTATAATTCTGAAATATTACTGTTATTTTCCAGATGTGTGATTTGCAGTACCATGAAAAGTTTGTTCTGACCGACACTGTCAGTTACAGTGATTCATTTCATACTGAATTCCATATTTTCATATGGAATGTCAACCATCAATGATTGATCAGGCTCATGTTTGCGGAGGCATCACTGTTATGAACGAAAATGCAACTCCAAAGATTTTGACACTGATGCGTTTAAGATTACAGCAGTGTCTGTTTCCTTTGAATACTAAGTAACTGCTGTTCCCAAAGTATCTGATGAATGTCTTACAGTAGTTTGCAAGGATATCTTTGATGCAGATGCTCTGCATAGGACGTATTGCTGTGAATCAACCTCAGGAATCGCTGACTGACATCACTGACTGATTTTAAAAACTAGCACGTATGAATCATCTGAAATCAAACTGTGTTCCCTAGGATGCATATTTGAACCTTCAGTGATAGCAGAGAGCTGCGTCTAGTATACTTTCCATCATTCAGTGGGATAAAAGAAATATTTCTTATGCATCAATGTTGACCAATAAAAGTCCTTTTGAGGACTCGAGTGATTACTCACGGCTACCCATTCAATTACGTGATTTAGTTGTTCATCTTTTCAAATTATTGAAAAAGCATTTATCCTCTACAGACTTTGAAAATCTAGAAGTGAATGGATATTGTCAATTTTTATGTTAGTCACTTGCCTGAGATAAGAGAATATGGAACTGAAGTGCCCTTGTGCAAATGTGATGTGGATACAACGACGGGATGAATATAGTCTAAGCTATTTCATCTTTAAGAGATAATATCCCCAAGTATAGTATGGATCATCGTTCGTTTCAGATTTTATATGACTTGATCCAACCAGTTGGACATACTGCTGGACAATTTCGATTTCATTTTGATCAGTCTCAGGTTTTATTCTAATATGCGCTGATGCAAAACTGAATCACCGCTGGCGATTTGCAGGTCAATGGAATGCGTCAATAAAAATGGCTGCAATCAGCGAGAGAATATGTTCATGATTATATTTACTATGACAAAGCTGTAAGTAGTTAACACAGGTGACCATGAATGGGATGAAAACGGTATACTACAATGTGGAAATATCAATAATCGACTGATATCGAAATCTTAGAAGAAACAACGTGGTCGCGTAATACTTATTTAAGATTCAGAAATTCAACAGTCAGTGGCTTAGTGAATGTAAAACGAACTTAGGAAAGAGATGAAATGCTTCGACAGTGGATTTGTTCATTAGGTCCTTAGTGATCATGAGGGTGGGCGAGAGAGAGATGACAAGAGAGCAAATGACTTTGGAACACAAACACTAGGACTATTTTGTTAGTTTCTGTAGATTCGGTTTTCCGAAATGGGTGAAGTCGAAGCATCATATTAAAGACTGTTAGATGAGGTGAACAACATTCCAGTCAGCATATTTGGTATTCAGCAATTTCTTAAGGGTTAATCTTACACGTCGTTCACTATTCAATCTGCCTAACATGTAAATTATTACAAGACATATAAGCGAACAATGAATACTATTTTCAACTAGATCTTCACTCAATCTTTACTCGAATGTACATGACCTGATGGCGAAAAATTCTGTCCAGCCAATGAAGGTGAACTTGTGAATCACGATGTGAGTGGCAAACATAGCGATATGTTAGCAGTAACGAGGATGGTAACATTAATAGCAATAAGGATGGCAATAGAGAATTTAATGCTAACAAAATAACAAGCACTGGACGAAGATGCCAATAAGAATACTGACGATACTATAAATGATGATGGAATAAATTCCATAACTACTATTATTTATTATTGTTTCCTTTAGTTCCTAGAGGAACATAGGGCTTCAGCCGCATGTCTCCATTGCGTTCGGTTCTCCGTCAATCTTTTCACCTGGCTCCACGTCTGCCTACATGCATTCATCTCCTCTCTACATGAGCTCTTCCATGTCACCCTCGTACTGACGATCAACTCGCCGCTTCTCATTCGGTGGGGTTCCACTCGAGCGATGGCCTGGCGTGTGGTGTCACTCACTTGCTGCTTTTCTCAGATTATGGCCAATCCACCTCCATCTCTTCCTGCATATTTGTTGCACAATCGGTTCCTCCTGGGTTGGTTCGCTTCCATGGATCCCTGTTGCTGATCATTTCTGGTCAGCCATCTGATCTTGAGCGGAGACAGCTGATGATGAAGGTGTGGAATTTGATCGAAGTGCTCTTCACGACACTCCAAGTCTCTGATCCATAAAATAGCACTGACGTCACATTTGAGTTGAAAATCCGGATCTTATTTTCCATGCTGAGTGCTGTTGACCTCCACACAGACTTCAGAGAAATGAAAGCTCACCTCGCATTCCCGATCCTTGCTTTGATATCCTCTTCAGTTCCACCCGCCTTTAGTTCAAACTATGCTTCCCAGGTAACCAGACAGGCAGGTGAACGACGTTGCTTCTTTCAGATTTCTCCCATTTATACCAACTGATTCCTGCCTGTTGTTGGTGCTGTGTTTGGTGGCCAGGAATCTTCATCACCTCTGTTTTCTCTATGTTCACCTTAAGTCATATCCTTCTTTAATGTTTCTTCTACCAACTTGTTGCTTTTCACTTGCATATCTTCAACTTTGTGTGAAACCAGACATATATCATCGGTGAAGTCCAGATCCTTATGTGGGTCCATTTTACGCCAGTTTCATTGCTGTCGCATTATCCAGTCTACCGCTGTCAGGAAAATCATTGGAGATAGTAGGCAGCCAGCCTTGTATTACTTTCGTCTTCACTTCGAAGGATTCAGTGAGTTTCCCATTGTGGATTACTTGGCATGCAACATTGTCATACAACTGTTGAATGAGATGTATAATTGTTGGCGGCACCCCGTAGTAGCGTAGTAGTTGCCAAATCACCTCTCGATCGATAGTGTCGAAGTTGAGATAGAGAGGTGACTGCCATTCCAAACTCTGTTCAATGATGATCCGTAGTGTGGCGATTTGATCAATACATGACTTGTTTCTCCTGAATCCAGCCTGTTACGGTCAAAGATTTTCATCCAGGGTGGCGTGTTTAATTCACTCCAGAATGACGTGACTCAGTATTTTGCTTAGGATGGACAGGAGCATAATACGGCGCCAGTTCTTGCATTGACCTAAGTCCCCTTTCTTTGGCATTTTGAATAAGTAGCCTTTCTTACAATCTGCAGGTTTCTAGCCCTCTTTCCACTCCTTCTCCAATAGTGGTGTCATCAAGTCCACTGATGTCTCTGGGTGCATTTTCAATACCTCTGCTGGTATTCCGTCTGGTCTCTCTACTTTTCCAGTTTTAGCATCTCGATTGCCTTTAAGATTTCTGTTTTCGTAGTAGGGTTGATGTCCACTGGTAGTTCTGCTTCCGCTGTTGGTATTATTGAGCGCGTTGTAAGTGGCGGTTGATTTAGAAGTCTTTTGAAGTGTTTTGCCCAGTGTGTTATTTCCTCCACCTCTTTGATGATTGGCTTCCAATTGGCCTAATTTGTGTTCAACTTTTCCACGATAGGGACCTAGTTGTTCGATGGAGTGTTGCGAGGTCTCCTTTGCCTGCAGCTTGTCCTACTTCTCTTGCCATAGCTTCATAATATTTTCTTTTGTCATCCCTGGTACTCTTCTTTACTGCTTTTTCAGTGTATTGTAGCTTGCATTCAAATCCTTTTTTTGTTGCTCGTCGATGCACTGTTTGATCCTTTGTTTCGACATCCTTTTCTCTTCTGTTTGTCTCGATGTGTCCATGGTGATCAGCTGTTTGTCCTGTCTCTTCTCTCTGCCTAGAACTTCCATGTAGGTTTGACTCCACACCACTTTCAGGCTGTTCCAGTGCTTTTCAAAGCTGGTCTCTTCGCTAGTGTTGATTTGTGTCTCCGCCTTTTTCCCTATGATTTCAGTGAAGATACGCTATGTATACTGATCCTACAGATTTTGGGTATTGAAGGTTTGAAGGTTTTTAATTTGATTTGGAGCGAATAGAATATCAACTAAAATTAGAGAAATTTCCACAAAAATTGAGGATCATTCAAACCGAGATGGCCAGCGGGATAAGAATAATGTCTGAACTAGCTTCTTTCGGATGCACAAATTAGGCTTCTTAATGGGGATCCCAATGGCCAGCCTCAGCAATATTTAGTAATCGAACTCCTAAGGAGAAGATAAGACTTGTTGGTTAGCGGTAAATAACCCACCCTGAAAGCCTGGTTAACATCAATCTTGTGTTCTGTATCCACAAGATGAGATAGAATAGTGCTGCAAAGGGATTTTGTTTGTCCTTTACTTAACCACTTTGCAGAGTGATGATCGCAAATCCGACGAGAAACACGCCTAGTTGTACGGCCTATGTATGATATGGTATTATGATTTATGAAAATATTTATGAAAATATTCAGTATCTGCAAAAATATGTCTGTCTTAGTACATACTACTGCTGGATGAAAGTAATTAGAAATCATTCATGCACAAACAATGGTACTTGCTCACCAGACCAAGGTGATCTTTCAGCATTTCACAATTGTTTTTTTTTTCCCTTCTTGGAAAAAGTCCTTTCGTGCATAGTTATATCCTGTAAAGACTGTGCACAAAAAGTGTATATAAAAATATTAGAAATCACAATAATTTTATAAGTAGTGCACACAGTTATTGTCAAATTTCCAACTCGACTTGATAAAACTCTGGATCTAGTATTTACTAATGATGTGGAAATATATGAAGCACGCAGACGTGCTCCTATAATGAACTCTGATCATTGTATTATTCGGATATTACCCAAGATACATGGCAGATATCACTCTAATATCCTCACAAATCTCTCCAGGAAAACACAACAAAGATGTTACTCACAAGAAAAACGTGCTCAAACTAAGACGTATGTTAAATGACACAAACTGGTAACTTTTCACTGAACACACACTGGAGGATACTATTTCCAATCTGACTGACTTTCTTAAATTCTGCCTTGATACATGCTGTCCAAAACAGATACTTTTCAAAAGAATGGACCGTTTCTCTTCCCCTCATCTCAGAAAGCTTCGAAGAGAAAAAGAGAGACTGTACAAGACTAAGGATAAATCTGGTCATAGGAGTATAAACATCCAAATTAAATCCGAAATCAA